GCAGGAAGTTGCAAGCCCCAGGTGCTGCTGGGTGGGAGAGGGAGTGAGGGGTTGCATAGGGGTGAGTGGGAAGGTTGGTTAGGGGTGTGGTACAGATAGGGTGCGCAAGGGCCTCAGAGCTGCTTGGATTTTCAGCCCGAATTGAGAGGCTTCTGAAGCCTCTTCACTCCAGGGCCAAAAATCCTTATTGGCTGAAAATACTGCTTGGATTTTGGCACGGCAGCCTTTTTTCTTCCCTTCTTCACAGTGCAAAGCGAGCCCCTCCCCTCGCAGGAGCTGCAAAGAGGGCTTTGCGCTACAAAAAACAGGAAAAAAAGGCTGCTTTCGGCTCTTTTCCCCTTCATCACAATGCAAAGCCAGCTCCATAGGGCCTAGCAGCTAGGCCAGGCACGCCTCATTAGCAGCAAGAGCAGCAGGAGCAAGGAGACGGCAGCGAAGGTCAACTGGGGCAACAGAGTGCAGGGTGGCAGGGGGCCAAAAGGGCAGAGATTGGGAGGGTGATAGGTGGGTGGGGAGAGTTGAAGCACCCTTGCAGTTTCAAGTATGGGCAGGCTGCCAAGTACCCAAATTTTGATCACGTGACTGTGGGGGCACTGCATTGGTCGTAGTTTTGGGCACAGGTTGTAAGTCCCTTTGTTCAGCACTGTCATACTTTTGAATGGTTGCTGAATGAATGGTCGTTAAGCAAGGACACTTGTACGCACCAATCAGACTGACATTAGTATTCAGAAAGATTTTACATAAGTTCATAAAGAGTTAAGTCTAATAGCATCTTGAAAACAATGCAATGCAGAGATTTGTCAAGAACAAAATTGCCAAATTAATCTTACTGCATTTCTTTGACTGGGTTACTTTGTTAATGAATTGTAGGAATGAGGTAGCTATAATATACCTTGATTTCAGTAAAGCATACAAGTGCCTCATGCCATTCTGATTAGCAAGCTATTTAAGCATACTAGATGGTTATGACAAAAGTGGATACAGAGCTGGCTCACTGAACAGGCCACAAGGATCGGTCTTAAGTTTTCTACTCTTCAATACTTTCATTAATGACTTGAATGAAGAGGTAGAGAGAATGCTTATTAAATTTGCAGATGATACAAAATTGCATAGCACAGAAAAAATGGAAAAGGAAACATTTTATCATTATTTCAAATAGTATTACGACATATTATAATATTTCTCAAACCTGATTTTGGTATTGACAGTCATGGTAATTTCTCTGTCTGGAGAACACAATGATGCTTCATGGCTACTGTCAGTATTTAGAGATTCTGAATCCGACATTCGGGAAGGAGAGGAACAATTGCTATTATTCTGATTGCTGTTATGGGTGGGATCATCAGACGAAGAATCCACTGCTTTACCGTCGTCTGAAAATAATTTATTTTAATTTAGTATATTCATATTACTGCCTCATGCAAATGTCCATCTATAGTATGCATTCAGTTTAAGTGAGACTTTTCCTAGCCAGTAAATATTAGAGACTTTGTGACTCATCTGGAGGAGCACTTCCTGGACTTGAGTAAGGCCTCCTCCAAACCTGCAGCTTGAAGCACCATGTCCTCTTAAAGTAACATCCACCAGAACTGCCAGTGGACCGGCAGAAAAGTCATGATAGCTTGGCAGTTTGGGGAATAGCTTAGAGAAGGACTTCTATTTTTTTTTGAAGAACATCTCTGAGTGACTCATACAACCATACTGAATATGCTTAACTATCTAAATAGTTGATTTGAAGTTTGAACAGGCTGAAGAAACAGCATTTCTCTACTCTGGAATTATGCTAAGCGTACTCCCTCTTCCCAAATGGTTCCATAAAGTTCTCATTTCATAATAAGTCATATTTATTTTGTAACTTGCATGACTTTACTTGGAATACTCAGCTCTATGCAAAAATACTTGATTTTACTTGAAATATTCAGCGTGGTGCTCTGAGTACACAGGAATATATTTTAAAAATTGTGCAATAATCAGACAGCAGTTTGTTAAACAAAAACATCTGACCCTTCGCAATGAAAATATCTGACAAACTCTTTGTTCAAATCCTACAGAATAGCAAATGCAGTGAAGAACCCTTTAAAAAAAGGAATAGGAATTTAAAGCATAAAACAACAGACAACAAAGCTATAGGGATCACGAACACAAAATAGTAAAACTTTATCAAACTAAGATCTAACTATAATTGTACTTATTGATATTAAAACCACAAAGATTAAGATAATGCAATATAGAATAGACAATAAAGCAGAGAAGCATAAAACAAACCAAACAGATAATAATCAGCAGATCAAACAATTTAGGCTGTAAATGATAACAAACAGTTGTAGATTTGGCTTATTTAGTTCAGTCAAAAATCAAAGATGTGGAAGAGAAAAAGATTGCAAAAATAAACCCAAATAATAAGCACTGAAATGGAAGAGGAAGAAAACTGGAAGGTGGAATATAGGCAACAGTGATGAAACTAAATCTAAGCACACAGCACCTGGGATCTCATTTGTTTTCTAGCTGCAATCCCAGGGACAAACTACTGAAGGAACATAAGTAAATAATATATGAGTATGAATATATTTTTTATGCTGCTTCTCAAGCAAAATTCTATTTGCAACATTTCATCAGAAAAAATATAACAAGAGTAAAATGTGTACTTGGTTTACAATATTGTGCTTAAAGCAACAGCATATGAAAACAACTTAAAGCATATATTGTGTAACCATTTTTCAAGACTGTAGCCACGTGACAGATTTTAAGCTTAAATTATGAACACCTTAATAATCCGTATCAATTAGTCATATCAAAGAACTAGATCTCTTTTTTTAAGGAACTTATTACTGAATAAATGCCTACCTTTTTTGCTACTGCCAAGTGCTACTACTTTTGGTTGGTTAATGGAAGTTTCTATGAGAGGTGGTCTCATTTCTGCTACTTTCATTTCTTCATCAGAAGATAGTTCTTCTGATTCCTGTCAAAGGAGATGCACCTCAAGTTTGTCAATGTAACTACAATCTATTTAAACAGCCTCTTAGATTCACACAAACACCTTAAGGGTTCACCACAATAGCTGCTCCTTAAAAGCCATATAGCTGTATTTGGAAAGCTGGGCTTCAGAAGACAGTTTGCCACCCAAGACTGTAAGGATGTTACCACAATGTTCAGTGGATGCTTTAATCTAGGCTAGTAAAGTACAGAATGCAATGAAAGATGTATTTTCCATACTAAATACTAGTAGTAATAGTTTATAGTATATTTGGAAATTACAGTAGTCTAATCTGGTTAATCTAAGGCTACATAAATGAAACATTTATTAGACCTGACTTCTTTTAGATTCAAAATATTTCTAACTAATATAAATTCTCACAAAGTTATGAAGCTAGAACAGTAAAAGAATAAAAGCAATAGCAGCAACAACAGCTATATACATACTTTATCTGCACAGAAATAATAAAAATATATTTTTAAAATTTGTTATCACAATTAGATAAATTATTCATTTATTCACATTTATTCACATTTACTATTCAGTAAAAATACTTGGTGCTGGTAACTAACAAAACAATCCTATGCATGACTACTCAGATGTAAGTTGCTTACAGTTTTGGGAAGCATGTATAGGATTATTTTATTTTTGATATGCGTGTATAGGATTACTGCATGAAGTATACCTGGGAATTTATTTGTTGTTTTAGATTTATAAAAAATATAACTATTGAAAATTATATTCCTTATGCTTTATCCAACTGTAGTGCCACTTGATGATAGAGAATATGGCATAGAAATATATAAAATACCTCCAGAGTATCTTCATGGTTAACAATTGGCTTCACGTTTTCTGTGATTTTAACTTGAATCTGTGAGTTTCTGGTACTGTTCTCATCATCCGATTCATTAGGTTTCTGCACACAGTTTCCTGTAATATTCTGCTCATTTTCCATTTTGCTTTTCACTGGAGTAATTTCTGAAGTCTAAATGTTAACATTGTAAGAAAAGAGATTCCCATAGGGCGAAGCCTCTTATGTGTACTAAAGATAATGTGCAGATATTATATAAGTGACAAAAATCAACATCCTCCACCTCAGTAGACATTGATCTTGATTATCAGATAAATCTAACCACCTGTAAAGTATTACTGACTCCAGGCAGGCAGCAGCATATCTTGCTACATCTCAATAATTCTCTGTGAGCTTTCAGACAGCAGTGTGGGACCTCACTTGATAGAATTAGCAGAATGGGTCACAAATAAAGTGGGACTTACTGCATGTTCAAGTAGATGAAATGAAAAAGCATCAGTCTAGAAAGGAGTAGTATAAATTCATTAAATCCAAAGTCCTACACTGGCTCCTGCCCCTTTTCTGTCAGCCCTGGTTACAAAAAAAGCTCAATTCCCCATTTTCCCAGTACATAAGAAGAAAGTGGGGGTTATTCAGAAAATAATTCAGATCAAGATGCAGTTGAACAAAACTGATTCTTTTGGGATTGAGTTGTATCCAGAGAACCAGCTCAATATGTTGCTCAACCAGCAACAA